AATTTCCGACATGCCCATGCAAACTAAACAGACGTGGGTCTGCATGGGCCTGCATGTCAGACGAAAACCGCACCTAAGGTGCGGTTTTCATCAGTGATTTTGCCTATAAAAGACTTCCCGGAAAACCATTTCTCTTCACACCTCTCCTTCTCCCTTTTCAATTTTCTGTTGTAGCTCTATATTTCTTTAGTAGTTTTGCGATTAACGTTAACTCGTAAGTTTATTTTGTATTACTTTTTATTGTTATTTTTTATTTTTGATTTTTATGATATTAACTGAACTACGGTTTTTTCGCATATGGCATTCCAACCGTTCACGCTTGGCTTACGGTGGAATGGTTACACTGAAGAGACCAGAAAGGGGGTCACCTACGTCGGTGGCAATTTTCAGAAGATAAAGGTCGCTACCAGACCGCTGCTTGAAGACCTCCATCAAATGTGCACTAACGTTACTTGCATGGATGACACGAGAAGAGTTGATCGTATGGTGTACCGATATCCAAACAGAGAAAGTGGGTCATTGTGGCATGAGGAATATCTCATAACCACTCAGGATGAGGTAGATGTCATATTTGAATTCTTGAGGTCCAACAATCTTTCCAAAGCCGAGATGTTCGTTTACACCGAGCCGGTCATAGGCGTTGGAGGTCATTCTGGACGGTCAAACATATGGTATCCATGGTGGAGGTGAATTATATTGCGATCATCCCTATCAAAGTTACCATGATTCTCATTCCTATTTTCAGTACCAAGAGCAAGGTGAAGGTCATCATCAATCTTTCCCGTCATATGAAGAAGAAGTTCAACCGGACCTCCCCAAACCAACCTCACTACAACCGGACCCCTCCGAGGAAAAAGGAGAGAACAACGTCAGTGCAGACAGCTCCGACCCTCTTGAAGGTGCTGATGATTCAGGACCAGAGTCAGACTCAGCTAATGATGATGAGGTGGCTCGTGACCGTATACCAGTCCCCTACTACAATCACATTCCAGACGATAATTGGATGGTCGACAGCGACATGGAGCCGCCAGAGATCCCAATATGGGGTCCACTCACTGGGTTTATGAAGGGCCAACAATTTGGCTAGAATAAGGAGGTGCGGCACGCCATTGAGACTGAAGCAATGACTCGACATTTTGAATGGCACACAACTCATTCCAACACTAAAAGGCTCATAGTCAGATGTCGTAATCATCACGAGGGGTGCAATGTTAGGATTCGGCCCATCAACAACAAGAGACACGGCCACTGGGTCATATCCCGTGCGGTGAACACACACACATGTGTGTCATCCATAACTTCCCAAGGCCATCGACAGTTGAAATCCAGGGTGGTTGTTGCGGCTATCAAGCATCTAATTGAGCAAGATCCGGACCTTAAGGTGAAAGTCATAATCGCTGACATTGCAAGTCGTTATGGTTATACGATTAACTATAAGAAGGCGTGGCATGGAAAGTAGAAAGCTCTAGCAGCCGTCTTTGGTGATTGGGAAAAATCGTATGCATTCCTTCCCAGGTTAATTTTGGCATTGGAGGCGTCTAACCCTGGCACGGTTTTCTCCCCTCGATACCAAGATGAAAAGATACAACCTCCAGAGCCAGGTAACAAGCACCATTTCAGACGACTTTTTTGGGCATTCAAGCCATCTATTGATGGTTTTGGCTTCTGTGTCCCTGTGATCCAAGTGGATGGTACATTCCTTACCGGCAAGTACAAGGGCACTCTCCTGATTGCCAGTGGGGCGGATGCAAACAGACAAGTCTTTCCTTTAGCCTTCGCCATTGTTGAGGGAGAGAATGCTGATAGCTATGGATGGTTTTTCCGGCAAATTCAAATCCACGTCACCAGGAGGATGAACCTGACAATAATCTCTGATCGGCATGCCGGCATTAGAGCTGCCATTTTGGGTTTAGATCCAGCTCGGGGGGATGATCACTCACGCACACCGGTTTGCCGTCGATAGGCAGATGGGTTAGGATGGCGACATCCTTTAGCGTGATGGTGGCCTATCCTTCTCTAAAGTTGAAACAATGAGTCTCCTTTCTCCATCTCTCGGCTAATGCGGTGATGAGTTGGCGATCAACTTTGATGCCGTTAAAATGCCTAATCGAGTCCAACCGTGCCCTTTTGAGAAAGGGCAAGATAGCTGGGTGGAATGGGAGCACATTGGTCGTACCCCTGTAGCGGAGTATCGTTTGTGCTTCCTAGCGAAAATTTACACGTTAATTCTTATATATTAGTAAAGGTTTTTTCTTATAACTAAATTAATTAAATTAAATTATTTAACTTCAAGCAGAATTTTATTATCATAAAAAGAAATTTCATATAATTAACATAATAACATTTAAAAAATAATAATTTAAAGAGATACATACATATTATCATAAAACAAACATCCTAAATTAATTAACATAATAACATTCTAAATGAATAATAATTTAAAGAGATACATACATATTATCGTAAAACAAACATACTAAATTAATTAACATAAATAACATTGTTAATGAATAATAATTTAAATAGAAACATACATATTCAAATGTTTGAAATTAATAAAATTCTTTTTGTACACATAAAAATAAATTGTATTGGTTGTTTGGTAAATAATTTAATCGTATTGGTTGTTTTAAATAATTTAATCGAATACAGAGCAACACTCGTTAGACTCTTATAAGAGGTATACATCTTCTTAGAAACACAGTCTTTTTGACAGAAAAAGGGGGGATCCGATGATCTCTTAATACCCGATTTTCCCAGGTAATGGGAGGATATGATAATCGCTTAAAACCCCAATTTCCTTAGACGTGCATCTCTTTATAAAGAGTCGAAGTAAGTGGCGCTATGTATTCGATTAAATTATTGAAAACAACCAACACGATTAAAAAAATTAACATAAATTTATTTTATATTCCACTAAATACATTAACAAAATAAAAGAAGGACAAATGATGAAGAATTGTATGTACCGGGTGATCGTTCCAAACATCCCTTGACCGATGGTTGGGTTGGTCGTACAAGTCGGTTGGATCCAACGGTCCTTGCTCGAGATAATACCGTTGGTTGTATATATCCACATCCTCCCCAACCTACGAGAAAATAACAACGAGGTTAGTACATAGATTAATTAAAAGCTTATAACAACAACAAAAATTAAACCAGAATAATAAGTACGTACCGCTTGAAATTCATCGACATAAACTCCCTCTCCTTGCCACCAATCGGCAATTTTTTCGGGAAATTCGGACAGAGGTTCGGCTCGGCGGGTTTTGAGGAAAAAACCTAAGAAATATTTTCTGATGGCAGATCGGAATTAGCCGCAACCAACAGACCACTATTTCCTAGACTTTTGGGAGGGAAGGGTTTAGAGAGATAAAATCTAGAGAGAGAAGGAAGAATGGGTTGTGGTGTGAAGAAATGAGAGGGGAAGGGGGGTATTTATACCCAACAGACCGCACCCTCCAGGGGCGGTCGGGTAATTTTGCCCTCATAGAAAACGCACCTTGCCGAGGCGGTTTGGGTTTGCCCAGGCTTGACCGCACCTCGGCGATGCGTTCCCCGATCCGTGGCGCGGATCGCTCCGCTGGCTCGCGTTCAGCACTCCGATCGTTCTTCATCCAACGGTCTTCAAGACCGTTCCACAGAATCTGAAGACCGCATCTTGGCGTTGCGTTTCTTGTGCTGACGTGGCTTGGAACGCACCCCTAAGGTGCGGTTTATATGTAAAACGCACCTGTGGGGTGCGGTTTACTTATAAAACGCACCTCAGGGGTGCGTTCCATTAAAATTGGTGCTATTTCTGTCAATTTTTTCGGATTGGTGCTAGTTTTGTAATTTTTTTAAACGTGCTATTATTGAAAAAATCCCAATATGGTAATTATTGTCATTACCATAGTAATAATTTTAGGATATGACAATGATATGATGTCATTAAGATATTTTGTCAAACATAAAACATAATATCAACATTATATTACTATCATATCAATATTATATCAATATCATACATCTAGCAGAAGTGAACAATCTTTTGTAGTGGGACTGAGGTGTGAGTGTGACTTGAGCACGTTTACAGCAAAGCCAATATGATTGCAGACTTTCTTGCTTCGTCCGTCATTCTTTATCCTTAGGGGCTGATTTATTTTCCATTCCAAACCACCAGCTGAATTACAGGTTGCTGTATGACCAGGTGGGGAATCAAGCTCCCAGAATTTTAGTTGAGTAATTTTATGGGCGCCTTTCTACGCCATTTTCTACTAAAAACTCATTTGAGTCTATCCAAATAAATTGACCATCCAGATCCAACCAAAATTCAAAACCATAAAAATGCTTATGAGTAATTATTTGTATGAGTTATTTGCAGCCAAAACTATAACTTATTTTGAGTTATTTGGGTGCAAATAACCCGTTTGTCTATAAAAGTAGGTGGTGAGTTATTTGTACTTGAGTTAATTTGAAATAACTCATTAATGAGTTATTGTCAATACTTCATAGGGGATACAACATTCTCATTTTGTGAGGAATTCACCTTTTATATTAACTCGTTACACAACAACTCATCCAAACGATCCTTATATGAATCATGACAATTGAGATCAAATTATTCAATGAGTTTACCCATTGTCATGTCTAAAAAAACATGCCAAGTTTTTTTTATTACCCAGGAACCTCAGCCCCACGTGCCACTTTGTAAAATCGGGTCCTACTAAATTTGGGGCCACCTGCATTCAATTCGATGCCAACATGACTTTTCCCCTAACAGCCTTATACCTCCGGGAACACCAACGAGTCTCGCTTGGATTTGAACCTGGGATCTGCAACTCTCAAATCCTTCACTGTCGCGATAACTTACCGTTAGACTATCTTACCTTTAGTAAAAACATATCAAGTTAACCAACCCAAATCGAAGAAGTCACGATGTAGAAAAGAAAAGGAAAAAAAAAATTGTGTGGTACATGATAAATGGGCCTGAACATTATTACCGACCAAGTCAGGCTCAAACTAGCTGGAATTTGGACCGTCGCTCTCGCAAGTCGCAACTGAGATGAACGAAACGTTTGATTTTGGAGAAGACGCATCGGGGAAGCGCTACTTTCCGTCTTGTCTTACTGCGTTTCCGCAGTCATCATGGTGACTGTACGAATGATAGGTAAGTCTTACTGTAGTTCCAACCAATGATTCAAATTCCGATATATACAATGAGAATTGAGAACGCCTAACTGACGATCGCTTCCTTTAATTCGTTTCTGGAACAGATATTACGGTTAACTTCACAGGTCGGTCAGTCATTTCATCAAGCACCTGCTGAGCATTTCGAGCTGTGATTTCATCCTTTGCTCAGTTAAGCAAATGCGTGATGTTTGAATGTTTTCTGTCAGATGGCATGTTCAGAGGAACCTATAATGGCAAGCAACACCATGTAGCTGACATACCTGCTGTCCTGACTCGGGCTTGGAACGCATCATTGTGAGTTTCCTTCTGAGACCCGCTTTCAGTAGCTTCTTTCAGCTTGCTAATTCCTTTAAAGCTTCATTCTTTGATTCTGATGCTGTGAGGTCATCTGGAATGAAGATCTTCGCATTTGATTTCAGTTGTTCTGTATGGTCATCTCCAAATATGTTTGCTATTGAGTATCTCTCCGTTGCAAGTAGGAAATTTTTGCTTCCTACTGTTTCTTCTGTTGGTCTTGCAATTGCCGAGACGGATGGTTTGTCTCTTCTTATTTTGTTGAAGCTTATTGAAGGCTCTTTCTGGAGAGTTGGTTGCAGCACTTTGATTTCCATTACCTTTTACAGGGAGGCTTTTCTGTACTGTTGGTGTGCACCCTACTAGATGCAAGGTTGATTTCAAGTTACTGCATATCCTTTACCGTAGAAGTTCACATTCCCCGCCTTCATGTTCCCCCCTCATCCATTCACTCGGATTTATGCAGGAATTTGAAGAAAGTGGGGATCCGGAGAACCATTTCCAAGCTCTGTTGTCGTTGGCCAAAGAAGGAATTCGGAAAGGAAAGGTATTAGTTTCTAGTCTCAACTCTCATCTACAATCACACATTTATACTTGTCATCGAATTTCATACATCCACGATACTGTTTTTTGTTTTGTTTTGCTGATGAAGAGATCTTGAATATTTGTAGCCTGACCTCAAAATATTGGTTTCTGTTTTGATAATTAAGATGATTGGGGCAGATGGCTTCTCAATACCATATTGCTGATATTGTAAGTTATATACATATGCATGTAGATGTGTAGAAAGTACAAACATCTTAACTGTATGTCCAAAATCCTATGCAACCTTGTTTTCTGCTCATTTCCGGCATGCACTGTCAGCTGGTATTAGTTACAGTGTCTGATATGTTACTTTCTTCTTGACCTGTAGTTAGTAATTTATCCCTGAGAGATGAAAGATTTTGCATGGTAAAATTGATTTTCTGCTTTGGAGTTTATAATCATAAGGTTGTGGAAATTATTAACTCTTAGATGTCAGTCTGTTGCATGCCAGCATGACTTGGTACATACTGATATGCATTCCAAATTCAAAATTGTGTCATCGTTGTGCATTAATACTTGTATTTTGTTTATGAGTACTATTTTTAGTAGCTACTACAATTTCATGACCACATTTTTCGTTGAATTCAACACCGGAAGGTTGTGGCGGTTGGTGAGTGTGGACTGGACTATGACAGGCTCCACTTTTGCCCTGCTGAGATTCAAAAGAAGTTGAGTTCATGGATAAGTCATTCTATGCATTTTGATACCTTACCTAACCATTGTGATTAGAGAGTGCATGCATTGATAAATTAGGTATTTTGAGAAGCAGTTTGAATTAGCACATGCCACAAAGCTGCCTATGTTCCTTCATATGCGTGCAGCTGCCGAGGACTTCTGTGAGATCATGGAGCGTTACAAGGAAAGGTTAGTTACCTAATACTACTGCTTTGCTTGAATGGTACTGTGCCACTTAATTGAGGTGGTTGCTAGCCATGGCTCCATTTCCCTTAACTGCAGATAAAGTTTGTGCGAACTCCTAAATTAATATAATTGAACCACTGATTTCGCTCAAAGTAATAAGAAACAGAGTTTATCTGGTAATTGTCTTTGTATTCTGGGTTTGTGTTACCAAGGTCTGGGTGCAGGTGACATACTTCGTGTAATTTTCAGGTTTACTGGTGGTGTAACGCATTCCTTTACTGGTAGCGCAGATGATCGTGATAAATTTCTTGCATTCAGAAATATGTATATAGGTGAAATACTCTCATTAGCAGAATTTTCAAGCTTCCTTTTCCTTTCACTGATGTCTTTATTGTACATTTCCTTGGATTTAGTTAGCTTCTTGTGAAAGAACTTATTTGTTTTTCTCTGTGTGAGACTCGAATATATGCAACTGCCTTTTCTTTTTCTAGCCTTCTAATTAAGAGTGATTTCTCAATTATTGCTCATCTAAGATAAACTGAAAGTGGAAGGAACAGTCAACTTCGTTCCCATTCCAAACCCACAAAACTTTGATTGGTAATTGAGTTTCTCACAAAGCTTTCCGCTGCAAATGGTTGCTCTCTGAAAACAACTGAGAACCTCAAAGTTGTGAGGGACATTCCCATTCAACATGTAAAATCATCATGGCCTTTCAGAAAGAAAGAGAAGTATGAACGAGGGTCCATTGTCAAAGGCCGGAATGAACCTTGTTTAGTTCGGTACGTGGGACCCTCGTGTCCTTATTATCAAAGTTGTGTCCATATTCCTTTGTTTGTACAACGACTCAGAAGATTAGCTAGTTGCTCACTAGTGTGTTCGGTTAATTTTATGATTGAAATGCTATTTGTTTTTCATAATTTCTGTACAATGTTAATCTTTCTTTTCAGGCAAGTTTTAGAGGTCGTGGCAGGCTGCAAAGGCTTCATTGATACAGAAGAAATGATCAGAATCATCTACCAAAGCACCTGCAGGTATGTGCCTTCTCAACGATCCTGAAATTTCTTGCCCGGCTAACTAGCCTGGGGAAATAAAACTAGTGACCTAAGACTGCTGTATGTAATCCAATATCCTTCTTGTCAGAATGTTCTTTCCGCAGGACTTGGATTCTGCTGCGGATTCTCTTCTTGCTGGTGGTGATCAGGATTCACAGGGAACATGAACTATGCTCTCGCTTGCAAGAACTGTGCCATTATCCCTCTTTTGGTCATCTATTTCTAGCTGGAAAGAAACCCACCCTCATGTACTTTTTTTTAATGTTTCCATGATGCCAATGCACAATAATCGAGAAACCTTTGTGTTAGTGCTGGTTCTTCAGAGTTATTATTGATACTTGCTTTGCTCATATGAGTCTTCAAAAAGTTCTCATTTTTTGCAAATATAATATATTACAATATATATATATGGTCATGCATTGAGCAACAATTTTCTGCCGTAGAAGGGTGCTCTATTAATTTGGCTCATAAGTAGCAATCTTGTACAGAATCCACGTCCATATTCACATGCCATACTTTGAAACAAATAGCTGCATACTTGAGCTTGCTCTTCTCGGCACTAAGTTACTTGTGTTCTGTCTTGGTTTAACCGATTCGAATGGCATGATGGAGGAGCATAGTGAAGGCAAAAAGCTCCTTTAGAAGGTTAAAGGGTAGATGCAACAAAATACTTTGAACTTTGAATTGTACGCAAGTGATGTGCAGAAACGTCTACTCAGACTCAGAGCTGATGCTCGAAACCAATTGGCTGCTATCGCCTTCGGTTGTTGACTTGAATCCTGATGAAGATTGCGGCCTCTCCGAAGCCATGTTCAACCGCAAAGGCCGCCCTTCCACCTCCTACAAAATTCCACAAAACAACAGAATTTGGTTAAACAGAAGCATTAGAACAGATACTGCATGAATTGTCTGTGCGCCATCCAATTGTAGCTTACCTTCCCATTCATGCTATTCAGAGCAGCATCAGCATCTGCAGCAGTCTCGAAAGACACGAAACCGAAACCTCGAGATCTTCCTGTATCCCTCTCGTAGATGACCTTGGCACTCATGTACCCAGGCTGCTCAGCGAAGACTTCTTTGAGAGCTTGAGATGTAACGCCCCAACCGAGATTCCCAGCATAGACCTTGTGAGGGCTGTCTACGAACCCCTGATAGCTACTCCGCACTCTCGAGCCTATCATCTCCCTCTCGCCTCCCTTGGGCACTTCTGGGAAGTTCACCTTTATGTTTCTACCTCCCAATTGCTGCTCATCCACCACCACTACCATTGTAAGTATATCCATGAGGGTAAGGGTAGACACTACAGAGAAGCAAAAGAAAGCAAGAGCAGGGAACTTACTGATTCATTGAACATTCGAATGGCTGCTTTAGCTTCCTCGGCAGTCGCCATTGTAACAAACCCAAACCCTCTGCTCCTATCTGTAACCCGATCATAGATGACCTGAAAACGTTGCAAAAAGCTCCCTTAACTCAATTCACTCCACCATCTCCAGTTGTCAAATGGGTTTTATATAACGAAGACTGATTAATGATCTTAAAATTTGGATAGGATATAAAAAAATTCTATGATTGAATCAACTGATCCTATTCAAACACTACTAGGTCTCTCAATCAAAGATTATAATACCATGGTCCAACATCAAGTCATCCATCAGATTATTGAAGTTTTGAACAAAGAAGAAGAGCAAATTTGGAAGCAGGGGAGGGAAGGCATTCGGACCTCAACGCTGGCGATACGACCCGCCTCCGCGAAAATCTCATTTAATTCCGCAGAAGTCGTCGTATATGGCAGGTTTCCAACGTACAGCCTACCTTCGTCACTTGATCCAAACCCTCCATTCACACCTGCTGCTACTTCTCCTTCTTCGCTTTCCGGAGCGTAATCATCGGCTTCAACCGCGAGGTCCTCGTCGTCAGTGGAGTTCTCATCTTCGGCTGCCTCGAAATCGTCAAATGCAGCGGCGAAATAGCGGCGCGATGGGGGTCGGCTGACGACGACGGTGGCTTGGTTCGCGAGTTTGAGGGGCTTCAGGAGGAGATTGGCCAAGTGATTAGTCGACAAGTGGGCAGTGGATGGAATGTGAGTGGCGGAGGCGAGATTGGAGGATTTGGTGTGAAGCGGAGACAAAGCAATCGAGGAGGCAGCCATTGATAGTAGTAGAGCTGACATTTCTTCTTAGCCCCCCAGCGCAGCTGATATGGCAGGCGCAGCAGTGAGTGTGAGGAGGATAATTCTTGGACTGTAAGCGACAAGTATGCAGATAAGGTTGCTTGGTTGGGCCTAGTTTATTGGGCTTCCTCGTGTTTGGACTGCGACCAAATGTTGATTCACGTTGGAAATAAATAGTTTTGAAAGGGGTAAATTGCAAGTTTGGTCATTAGAATTACTAAAAGATTTTACGTTTGTCATTAGAATTAATTTATTTCATCTGTAGTCATTTAAATTAGTTCAATAGTTCAAATTTGGTCACTCTCCGTTAGTCTCCGTTAACTTTATCTGACGTGACAGTCAACCTTCATAATTGACTGTTAAGTGAGTGACGTGACAAATTAAAAAAACTAAAAAAATAAAATTTAATCTATTAATTTTCACCTCATTTACACAATTATTAAAAATTATATATAAATTTTTTATAATTCCCAAACTTTTTATAATCCAGCGCACTACCTCTCCTCGAAGAAGTCTCAGGCGCTCGGCTTCCTCCTCTTCCCCCGACACCTCTAATTCCTCCTTCTCCAACAAGTCCCGCTCATCGGCTTCCTTCTCTGGCTTCTCCTTCATTTTCCGGATTGTCTTTGGCGACATTGTAAAGTCGTTCCAGGACCTGGGTAAGTTTCTGGGCCCCAAGCGCGAGATCCTTTCCCTCGTCGATCATTTCCCTGTTATGAACGTGATGGGGATCGAGACCCTAGATCTATCGTACAACAATTTCCACCTAGGGAGAATCCCCGATTGGGCGAGTTCTTCCCCGATTCTCTATTCCCTGAAGCTGGCGAAATGCGGGATCAAGATGTATCTGACGAATTGGAGGCCGAAGCAGACGTATTTCTACGATTACCTCGGCTTATCGGAGAATGAGATCTGAGCAGTCCCGTTTGGTTACTGAGCCGGACCGATTATTTGGTTGGGTTTTGGGCGGCCGGGAATAAACTGAGCTTCGATTTGAGGCGGATGAGGATTGTGGGGACGATCAATGATTTGGATCTGTCGAGGAATTTGATTTACGGCGGGGTGTCGAGTTCGGTTGTAAGATTGCAGAATCTGAATGTGAGCTGGAATCATTTGTGTGGAAGGTTGTCGCCGACGAAGTTCCCGGCGAGCTCGTTTGAAGGGAATAAGTGTCTTTGTGGCTCCCCTTTTGCTCCTTGTAAATAAAAATAATTAATCAATTCACACCGAAGTTTGCGATGAGAAGCACGATTCCAGCTATGTCTTCAGAACGACGGGATTGCAGCCGCACTTCAGAATCTACAGCCATTGAGCAGTTTTCGCAAGGGATTCCTCAAACCAGAAGTGCGATAAAAAAAGTAGAGAGAATCCATGAAGATTTACCACAGTCGGCCATGTGCCACGACGCTAGTGACGGAGGGGACGATTCTGGGGGGGAGTACATGGACGAAGGGGACTATTCTTGGGGGAGAGAAAAGTGGACAGAGGGGGACCCTTCCAGTTGCTTTTATTATTATTTTTTTAATTTTTAATTTGACAAGTCACTCACTTAACTGTCAACTATAAAGGTTGACTGCCACGTCAGATAAAGTTAACGGAGACTAACGGAGAGTGACCAAACTTGAACTGTTGAACTAATTTAGGTGACTATAGATGGAATAAATTAATTCTAGTGGCAAACGTGAAATTTTTTAGTAATTCTAGTGACCAAACTTGCAATTTACCCGTTTTGAAAGCTATAAATTGAAGTATCAAATACCACATTGGTGAGCAGAATTTAGCAAAATGTATATAAGAACACTAGTTTTTTACCCAGCCTATTAGCCGGAGAGTTCATTTTATCATTTATATAAAATAATGGGTATGCCCATGTCACCGTAACATGAATTTTTCGGTCGACCTAATCCTGAAGGAGGTCGACCGAATTGACTAATTTGGACAGCAGGAGAATGCATCGCGGTTATAGGTGTCAAAACATAGCCTGACCCGATTAACCTGCCCGATCAACCCTACCCGCAACCCGACCGCAACTCGAATTGACTAAAAGTCAACAACCCGTAACCTGCCCGACCCGTAACCCGATTGACCCGTAACCCAACTAACCCGCAACCCGACTGACCCGCAACCCGATTAACCCGAACCCGATTGACCCGCAACGCGACTGACACGCAACCCGATTAACCCGAACCCGATTGACCCGAACCCGACTAACCCGTAACCAGACCGACTCAACCCGAATTTCATCTAATCCACTTGAATAATTATAAAAATATACAATACATAGTTTTTCAAAATAAAGTTTTTCATTCTAAACTTAAGTAAAATTATTTTTTCATTTCGTATAAGAAATTTAAAAAATATGAAACACACTTGATATTACGTATTTTAAGAAAATAACAAAAATTGAAACATGAAGGTCACTTGAGATCATGACAATATTAATATAATATATAAATTAAATTTTTGGTTAATTTAACTATTCAATAAAATTATCAATTAAATATAAATAAAGTAAAGTAATGTATTTGGTAATTTGATGTTTTTAAAAGAAGATGGAAATTTTGGTGTATTCAAGTTTTTGGGAAGAGAAAGAAGAGGGAAATTTGGTTCTTTGAATTTTTTAGAAAAGAAGCAAGTGAGAATTTTGGTTGTTTTTTTTTCTTCGGTAGAACGAGGGCGCACTACGCCCAAAAAAGATAAAAAAGGAACAAGTCTGGGAGTTTGGCTCCCTACAAGGTCGAAGAGCAACCAGTAATTTAGCTGAGGGCTGGGAATTGATACTAGATGCAGGCCCAAGGGTAGGCTGTGAACCGTAGATGCCAGGAAGTCCGCTACCACGTTCCCCTCTCGGAAAGTATGCTCGACTCGTACCTCCCAGTCCCGTTGGATCATCTGCCGCACTTGAACCACTAGACGGTAATGTGGGTGAGAAGAGGCAGCCGAGTCCAGCAATTCAATGGCCGCTTTAGAGTCCGTCAAGAGCACCACCTTCTTCACGTCCAGCTCCCATGCACGCTTCAACCCCTGCAGCATTCCCATAAGCTCCGCTCGGGTGATTGACCCACCCCCTAGATTCATAGTAAAAGCACCCAAAAACCTTCCTTGATCGTCACGGACCACCCCACCTGCCGTCGAGCTCTGGCTAGCGAGTATCACGGACCCGTCAGTGTTGACGCTGCACCAACCCGCCGGGGGTAAGCTCCAGCCTATCATCCTCCACTCCCTCGCTCGGCTCCCGCCTCCCTGAATCTCGTCTCCCAGTAACGCTTCCCCGATCTGCCCACGTATTTTCTTTGCTGCATGCTGCATTTGGTGAGCCGTGTTCATTTTCTTCTCAAAGACAACAGCATTCCTGTTTTTCCAGAGTAGCCAGCACACGACCGCAAATGTGGAGGCGTCCAAGCGCTCGCTCTTCCCTTTTAACTAGTATAGGAACCATTTCCTCACATCCTCTTGGAAGAAGATAGCATCTTGTTCATTATCCAGGAATATAGACCAAACTTCTCTAGCAAATGGGCAATCCCTGACTACATGTATCACCGATTCTCCATCCCCACCACAAACCGGACATACGTCCACCGTTGTTAAGTGTCGCCGGTGTCTCTCGGAATTGGTAAGTAGCCTTCCGTGAGCAGCCAGCCATAAAAATGATCGGATTCTCTGCATAGCTGGGACTCTCCAAACCGTCTTCCACAGCGGGTGGAAGTTCATTGGCATGCTTGCGCTGTCAAGAAATTCATAGGCAGTCTTCAACGAGAATACCCCATCCGCTGTGAATCGCCAAACCGCTTCATCTTCGCGCTCGTCCTGAGGCACCCCATGCAACTCGATCTGATCGACCACACTCAATGGCAAGAAAGCCCGGATATAGTCCAAGTTCCACTCCCCGTTCAGGGTCATCTCAGCCACGGTCAAGGGGAGGGCCTCCTGGGGTAAGTTGGCCGCCTGATCTGCTAGTACAGGTCCATCTGTTAGCCAATGATCCGTCCAGAACATAGCCTGTCTTCCGTTCCCCACATTCCACAAAGTTGTGTGCGGGACCTGAGGTAACACTCGCAAGACACCCCTCCAAAGGTTAGAGAGTCTTCCCGACGTCCTCGGAGAAATAGAATCTCCCATCCTACGCAGGTACTTCCCACTAATCACCCTTGCCCATAGGCTATCAGGCTCCTTCATTAGCCTCCATGCAATTTTCATCATGAAAGCTTCGTTTAGGGTTCTGGCATCGCGCATTCCAAGTCCTCCTTCATCCTTCGGCCGGCACAGCGTCTGCCAGTTTATTAAGTGGATTTTCCTTCCAGCCTCCAAGCTGCCCCAAACAAAGGCTCAGATCTTCTTGTCAATATAATCTAGCACAGAATCTGGGAGTAGAGTCGTCTGCATCGTGTAGGCAGGAAGGGAAGCTAATACCGACTGGGCCAGGGTGATACGTCCCGCTATGTAGTCTTCGAAACTCTATCATGAATGACCGGGACCCCCAAATACCGGCCCAGGTTTAATGTCTGCGGTATGCCGAGGCTGTTGCTGAGCGAGTCCCTCGTAGCAGTAGTCACATTCTTCGAGTAAAAAACTCTTGACTTGGGTTTGCTAATCTGCTGCCCCGAGGCTCTGCCGAATGTTTCGAAGACCTGGTTTATGACTTGGACCTGCGCAGCGGAAGCCACACCAAACAGTATGAGATCGTCAGCGAAAAACAAGTGGGACAGTATCGGACCTGAGCTAGAGAGTTGGACCGGTCTCCAGCTCCCCTCCTCCACGGCGTTCTGGATCAAATGCCCCAATCTCTCCATACACAGGGTGAAAATGTACGGAGAGAGAGGGCAGCCTTGTCGAAGTCCCCGGGACGGCGAGAATTCCTCCGTCAGGCCGCCATTCCACTGAATTTGCATTCTTGCCGTGGAGATGAACTACATAGTTAAGTCTGTGAACTTCTCTGGTAGTCCTGCAGCTTCTAGGGTATCTCGCACGAAACTCCATCTGATCCGGTCGTAGGCCTTGGCCAGGTCCACCTTTATCACCATCCAACCAGATCGTCCCGTCTTAGCCCTCATAGAGTGAACAACTTCCTGCAAAACACA